AACAGACTGAATACTTCAGCAAATATAAAAATTCAACTCTCTTCTACTTAGACATCATAGATTTACAAAAATGGAAAAAATGTCACCTTTATCCCTAATTTTTGTTTTGTAAAATATAGTTATTTTTTTGTAAAAATACATTAAGTTGACATGTACTTGGTTCTTCATTGTTACTTTTAAATGATTTAACGTAGATTTAAAAACTTTTTCCTGCGTAAATACTGATAGGTATAACCCCAATAAGCAAAAGTTCTTTGGTATCCCAATAATATTTTATTTAAAAAACATGTTTTTATTGATTTCAGAGGGAGGAAGGGAGAGGATAGAGAGATAGAAACCTCAATGAGAAAGAATCATGGATCAGCTGCCACCTGCATGCCCCATACTGGGGATCAAGCCAGCAACCCGGGCATGTGCCCTGACCAGGAATTGAACCATGACCTCCTGGTTCATAAGCTGATGCTCAACCACTGAGCCACACTGGCCGGGCTGCTGCCCCAATAATTTTTAAGAGTGTTAAGGAGTCTTGAGATCAGAGAATTTGAGAACCATAGCATTGAGAGTGCTGCCTTTCAATGTCTTATAAACTTGTTTTTCCCTGTCCCTCCAGCAGTGTGTCTCTTGTGCCCATTATAATAAAGAGAACATTAACATAAACTTTGGCACTGGTACATGTTGTAATATTTGCATAATGTTTGGAAAGAAAATAGCTTAAAAAAAGGCATTGCCAATTGGATCTATTTTTTTTACAGGTCTTTCTTTATAAGTCATTTCTATTAGCCGTGCCTTGCTATGGATGTTTATAACAAAACATTAAAGACTGGGTAGAACGGGGAAAACAAATTACTCTGCAGAGAACCCAGCCACTCTGCTAAAATACTGTCAGTTATTTATCTACTGTCAGCAGAGGTTGCACACTATAATCCTTGACAAGCTCAGATTCAGAAAGAATGAAGAGAGGGGCAAGCATTGCATTTAAGGGCCTGTTCTCATGCGCAGACATTTTAACACAGATTTAGAGCCGGAATGTATCTTCCAGAAAATGTCACTTTTGATTTTGATACATACTCTAGCAAGCAGGCCCTACATTTGGTTGACTTAGTACGAGATATGTTAGAGGCTAACGCTATATTTTAGACCATTCATGATCCCCATGTGGAACTAACACAATGAGGTCAGCATCACTTCATTTTTAGAGTTGGCTACTGCGACGGCATGAGTTCATGGGTATATTTTTTATGAGAAGAAGGAGGGCTTTATTTTTGTTTTGTTAGGCAAGGTAATGAATGACAGGCTCTAAGAATCCTCTCTAGTGTCCATTTCTCCTTTGTGTTTACAGGGGAAACAATCATTACTGCATCTTCCTGTTCTGAAATACTTTCTCTCTGAAAATATACATGGCCAAGGCAGAAATGCAACAGACAGAAGAACTTCCGGCTGCCAATTTTAAAGAAAACCCACCTTCAAGCAGGTAGCTTAACTAGCTCAGCATACGGACAAAAAACGTGTGCAACGCAAGGTTATGGGGGAGGCTCCAACTCAGAAGGCAGGATAACGAATACACCCCAGTCGTTTCTAGCAGAAAACCACGGTTTTCTTTATCATACAGTTCTTACTGACTGGTCAATTAGATGATCCCTACCCATGCGATCAGAGGTCTAAATAAATGTGTGCTTGTAACTGGGGATGTTTGACGAACGCTGAACCAGAATCTTAATTTTCTAATTCATATTCACCAATTAAAAATAAACTGTATTTTTATGAGCGAATTTACATAAATCAGATGATAAAGCATCTACCACTAAAGGGTAGGAGTTCAGCTCACAACATTTGCATACATCCTCCTAAAGAAAACGTAGGCGTCTGAGATTTCCATGGAAGAGTCTTGCTGCGCTGGAACTCTAATGGGCTTAGAACAGTAAATTTTGAAGAAACTGATTGCTATCCCTGTAGCTAGTAAATGTCTGCCTAGACCCAGTGGCATTTGAAAAAAGTGTTTTATCATAAAATTATCCCAGCAGAGTCCATTCTGCGAGATAACATCATCATCATCATCATCAGTACTCCATGCAGGACCCAACCGCTCTGGCACAATATTGCCAGTCATTTATCTGTTGTCAGCACAGGTTACACACTGTAATCCTTGACTGCCTCGGAATTAGAATGTCTTTGATGTCCCCACAAGAGTTTTTTGCCCGAAGGCTTTACCAATGCTCGGCGGCTCAGTGTTTATTCCTCGTAATCTTCCTCTCATCTCCAGGCTAGCAGTGACAGATGGTTATGGGCACACAATAGTATTAAGAGTTTGATATTTTTTTTTTTATGCTGTGCTCTCTGTACAACAAATAGCTATCAGACGCGGGCCAGAGAGCTGACATGGCTCGCTTAGGTAATGGCAAACAAACAGCCCGGGCTGATGCGTTCTGTCATTTCCCCTCCTAACCCTGCTTGTTTTCATTGTAGACTCTCAAAGGTAAACTATATTAACCTTATAGACTGTTATTAAAAAGATATATCTATATGAGCATAAAGTGCCTTTCTTTCCTCTTTTTCTTACTCTTTTGATTATGAAAGTAATACTGCTGACATATTGAACAAATATCGAATGTCAACATAAATTTTTAGTGTGTGATAATATCCCCCTTCATATAGCTGTGTGTCAGGCGGGAACCCGCGGATGATGCATAGCAGTAAATAACCCAAACAAAATTAGTTCTCTTGTCAGCTTCTACCTTGTATGTCCCCAGGCATCAGTAAAATTGACTGCACGCTAGATTTTCAAAATTAGCCCTAATGTTAGCTATGTGTCTGGCAACCTCCAAGTTTCCAATGTTCTACTATATTACCCGTAAGGATGAATGTGTTACTTTTATATTTTGGCATTTACTCTTGCTGATGCGGCTTTTTCCCCCTCTTCTCCAAATTAAAAATAATTTAGCTTTAACAATAAGAATGTGCACAAACATAATGCTGCATCTCTTTAAGCAACTAACTTTAGGCAATTACATTAAATTAAAGCAAAAATATACAAAGGAAGAGAGGGAATTATTCAATTTAATATTGTTAATTTTATTAACATAGCTCTATCTTATTTTGTGCAACGTATCAGATAACGCGTTTCTCACCCAGGATGCTGCCTTGCAAAAGGAGACTACAAATGATGTAATTTAGCATTTTTATGCTAACCCGGAACTAAACTTTGTAGAACTGATTTCCCTGCAATAAATATTATTTCAGAGACAAAGGTTAGCTGAATAAATGGAAAAGCTTTTCAAAAGGGAGTAAATGATGACATCTATTTTACCTTGAAATAGGTTGATCTAATCCAGACCCATTGCATTAAAAAACAAACAAAAAACAGAAAGGGATCCTGAACATTGCCACATTCTAAGTAAAACATGATTTAAAAATGATGCTCCCTTAGTAAGCCTACGCTGGAAGTGTGAAGCTGAATAGACAAATCCAAAAACAGAGTCCACGTCGACTTTCAATCTCTAAATTTTATGTTCATACATTTAGCGTCCAAGATGAAAATCCCTTTAGGTACCAGATGCTGCAGATCAACCGGAAGGCTTCCGGGGTTTAATGTGTACAAGGCGAATCCGCGGCAAAGGCGCTTTGCCCGGCCTGTGTGTGGGCTTATTCCTTCACCTGTAAGCAGTTGCCCTCAGAACATCGGACCTGATGGCTGGTCCAGCATCTCTGCAATAAAGAGCCGGTTCTCTGCGGGGGGCATGAACCCAAATCAGGCCACATGCAGATTAAACTACGGGGAGGAATGAAAACTAGATTAACATGTTCATGCCTAAGACCAGAAGATTATCAGGACATTTTACCTCTTTAAATCCCAATTTATAGGAGTGAGGGTTAAGTTTCAGAGTTTACATGTGGTGCAATTATCTGTTCCATTTACTTTCCTCCTCCGTATAGAAAAGACTCTCCTAGGAAGTACTGTGCTTAGCACAACACAGAGGTCCTTGGGAGCCGGGAAATGGTTTCAAATGTGCTGGTACACAACACAAGGGAAATAGGCACCCAGTTGAAACTGGTCAAATTAGTAAATATTGGAAGTTGTTTTGTTCTCATGGTAATTCTGCTTTAGCAATGTATACAAATGAAAATTTTGTGATAAACAGTATATATATTACTTATAACTTATATTACATATATATAACCCTATTGTTATACTTTGAAACTTTTTCTTTTCTTTTTTCTTTCTTTCTTTCTTTCTTTCTTTCTTTCTTTCTTTCTTTCTTTCTTTCTTTCTTTCTTTCTTTTTTTTTTTTTTTGGTTAATACTCACTCGAGGATATTTTCCCATTGATTTTTAGAAAGTGGAAGGGAGGGGAGAGACAGACATTCCACAGGGCAGGGGATTGAGCTTGCAACTGAGGTACATGACCTTGACCAGAATTGGCCCTTGACCAGAATCAAACCTTGACTAGAATTGAGCCTGGGACCCTTCAGTCTACAGGTCAAAGCTTTATCCAGCGATTCTCAACTTGTGGGTTGCAAACATCGGAAAACACATATAGCATATCAGATATTTACATTACAATTCATAACACTAGCAAAATTACAGTTATGAAGTAGCAATGGAAATAGTTTTATGGTTGGGGGTCACCACAACATGAGGAACTGTATTAAAGGGTCGAGGCATTAGGAAGGTTGTAAGTTATCCACTGAGCCAAACTGGCTAGGGCTACTTTGAAACTTCTTGAACAAGATTTTCTTTCTTAGAAGTGCCTAGCTACCATTGTTAGTTGAGCAAATTATCTGTAATTGAGTAATTATCTGTAATTCAAAAACTGAAATTTGATCGAAGCACACAACTATTTATATAGTCATTGTGTAGTGTCACCTGGGCACCCACTAGTAGAACTGGACACTGAAATGATATTTTCCTACAGCTCCAGCAACAACAACTTACTCTAATCACCAGAACATATCTTCTATGACCAGTTCTATAACTCTTACTAAATGCGTGTGTCATAAACTTACCACCTGTGAGGCCAGACAATGTGCAATGGTCTTTGTTGATCATCAACCCCACTCGAAATGTCATACGGATTTTGTTGATTTTCCCCATGACAAGAGCTGGAATTATCTGACGAGTCACACGTTTTCAAGTATGGCTCCTGCGTCAATGAGCTCCCCAGGCTCTCTTGTTGTGCCACATCACAAGGTCCAGACTCTGGCTCAACATGATCCAACACGTTCTCGCAACTTCCCAGCTCCTGCCGGGAAGGAAGGGCCGTGGATGGAGCGGCACCGCTGTTTCCTTTAAGGTTGAGCATCTTCTGTAAGTGGGCTGCTTTATGCTTGGGCACGAATCTGTTATGAAAAGGAAAAGCAAGAGTCTTTCAGCGAAGATAGTATTTAAAATGTACCCTTGACCTTCCTGTAAGGACGTGATGATGATGTCTAAAACTGAGAAAAAAAATAAAGGCATAATAAAAATTCCAGAAAAAGAGCAAAAAGTAGCAGCCATCAAGAGAAAGTTCAAAAGTTTGAAACAGGACTCGGTTGTCTTTGAACAGTTTCCAAAGAATGTCAGTGGCTATAAAACTTGCAGTGCACACACAGAAAGTGAAACAGAGCAAAGGTTTCCAGTCTTCCTCACTCACATTCTGGAGCTCACTTCATGTTCCCATCGCCACGTGCCCCGGGGCTCACTTTCAATCTCAGTTCATTCTCTTATCAAAATGCTTGACAGTTCCTGGGTTAACCCCGGGCATTTCTGCACCCATGACTTTCTGTATTCCTGCGCACCCGCACACACTTTCGTCACATCGACCCTACTAATATTTTGTGAAGTATGTGTGAGATTACCAAAGGTAGAAGCATCTACATAAAATGAAATCAAGGAGTTCATCATCGTTTGGGGAGCAACCCAGCGGTGCTTAGAAAAGACGGGGTGGGAGACAGGTGTGAACCACCAGTTAACCTGGGGCGGGGGGACACAGTATGCAAAGAACAGACACAAGCTTTTCAACCCGGGAACTAGAGGTCAGTTCTGACTTAGGACTTAGTAGAGCCCGAGTCTTAGTGGAGGATTTGGAGAGGCAGAGAGGTGGGGTTCTGGATTGAGGAACAGCATGACCAGAAGGAAGGGGTGTGAAAGAACATGAACCCCTCAGGGAATGATATGCAGCCCAAAGAGGCTTGGCCAGGCCCTGGGGTCCGCATCACAAGGTCTAGAGGGGCGACTGGGCCAGATACAAGGGCTTTCTGAGTCCCCGGCCCATCCAGAGACTCGCCCCTTCCCCTGAATTGCAAAATGAGTGAAGAAATGGAGAGTACATACGTTTAAGAGGTAGGTGAGGATTAGGAACCAGGGAAGGGGAGCAATAGGAGTAACTGGAAGAGTAGGAAGTAAATCTGAGATGTAATATCTCACAATTGAAGTGAATTAAGAGCCCCAAAAGAACGTGTAAATAGGGTGTAAAACATTACATAGGTGCCATAGCACCAGAAACTAGGAGTTTTGGGCCTTGCTACATAGAGGATCAGTGCCTACTCCAAGGGCGGTTCCGCTGGAAGGAACAGGCAGAAGCTGGACTGAAGGTTAGGGTATGTGCACACGAGGGGGCCGGCACAGAAAGAGAGGGAAAGATGACAGCAAGGAAGGCAAGGCGAGTTCCTCTTAATAGGGCACGTGTGCACAGGGTAGTACTGGGGCTCCCTTTCAGACACCTGCTAGGGATGGGAGCAGGATGAAAAAGGGCTTCAGGTGGGAGGTGTGGCATCCAAGGTGTGCCACCAAAGTATTAGGAGAGGTCATCTTTCAAGAGAGGTGGGCAGAGGTGGAGATGGAGTTTAAGAAGTGAGCTGAGCCTGGCTGGTGTGGCTCAGTGGCTGAGCATCAACCCATGAACCAAGAGGTCACTGGTTCAATTCCTAGTCAGGGCACATGTCCAGGTTGTGGGCTTGATCCTCAGTAGGTAGTCAATCAATGTGCCTCTCGCATCAG